GCCTTCACCAAAAACAGGCTCATTGGCAATCTCCCTACTCATCTCTGCCCTTGCAGGGGGTAGTCTTCTTTTAGAAGCATTTTTCATTTCGCTTCATGACCACAAGAGGCGTTGCGATCAAGCGATCCGTTCCTATTTCTCTCTCCCACAGCTGACTGTAGAGTGAGATAGATAAGGGGGTCGCTCGATCACAGCGACGCTTGTGACTAAAATTTAAAATGTGCCGTGCTTCAAAACCACGTCTACCCCCACCGCTGAAAATTGGGCGAGTTGCAAGACCTGTATGTAAGACCGAGAGTCCGGCCAACGGTGGGCCTCTTACTAATTGGCTCCGCCATTTTGAGGGCTCTTTCCAGAATAGGATGTGTGTGTGTGTGAATACGTATATGGAAGCATTCGCATTGTGTAGTGTGCGTAGTGATAACGGCAAAGAGTGAGGTTCAATGAGATTCAACAGTTATCTGCAGTTGACCAATCAAGGAACAAGAAGAAGAAGAGTTGTCTAAAAGTGGGAAATGTGTAAGTAGAAGTTTGAAAAAATATTGCGTTTCCAAAGAAAAACAAGTATTTTGCATGATATAAATACGAGTAATATGTAAATAATCATATTGCAATAGCTTTACAACAATAACGTACATTAAACTCAAAGCTGTAATTAACGTTAATTGATCGATATATAAAAAAATGTCCCGATACCGCCTACCTATTTTCAGTGCATTCAAAGTGTCTTTATATTTCAGTCATGTAATTAAAATGCCCCGATGTGCAGCATGTCCCAATAGATCAGGAAAGGGTGTAAAGGTGAGTTATTTCCCTCAAGATGAAGTTGTTCAGAACATGTGGATACAGGCATTGAACAAAAAGAATTGGACACCAACTAAGCATGCAGTTCTATGCGAAGTAAATATTCATGTTTCTTTAGACAAACATTCCAATTGCGATACTACGTATAACGCTTCATTACAACTTCTACATTGCAGTAACATTTTGCACCTGAAATGTGGGAGAAGGTACGAGAAGATGGAACGAAGAAGCTGAAGCGAAATGCAGTGCCCACAACATTCAATAGAGCAACTGGTTTGGTCAAAGATAAGATTCCGTCGCAAGAGTACAGGATGGAGCATAAGGGCACCCATATAGGTATGCATAAACCGTATGGAACATTAATAAATCTGAGAAAAATATCGCTGTAGTCAATCTGTCTCATTTATCACAACCTATAAGAAATAGTTCTTCTACACTGTTCTTAGACAAATGGTTTTTTTTTTAATGACAGATCTTACACAAACAAATAGTTGTTGTAAATTACGTTTCATCATTAGGTTTTACTTGAAGCACTTTTAATAGTTAACAGCTTATCTAATTTATAAACACCATGTACTTTTCTTCATTCTATTTCTCAGACAACATGGCTCCAGTCGTTGAAGATGACAATCCAGATCAAAATGTTTCTGTAGTACCGTCAATCAAAATCGAAAATGAAGAAAAGCAGGATGAGCCAGAAGCGGAACGGAAAGAAGTGGAATTAGAAACTGAGATGGATAGAAAAGTTTCAGAGAATTGTAATAGCGAGGAAGAGTTGGAACAAGAGAAAGATTTAGAAAGTCTGCCACAGGATTGTGAAAGTAAAATTCTAGGTAGTCATCCCAATTACCAGCAGTTGAAGAAAATGTACGAGAAAAGTGAAAATTTGCGAAGAATTATGAAGAAAAAACATAAGGAAACGATAAGAAAACTACAAAGAAGAATAAAGCAGCTCGAACAGGAAGTACGTGTAAGTGATCAACGCACGAGTTACATTAAAAAGTTATTAAACGATGATCAAGTCGAAGTATTGAATAGGCAAATGAAAAAAGTATGTAAATGGTCTGATGCTACTCTAGTCTTAGGATATAAGTTAAAATTTTCGTGTGGAAATACTGGCTATTCTACTTTGATAAAAGAAGGATGGCCTCTCCCCTCTATAAGAACACTAAGAAGAAAAGTAGAGAACTGGAAATAATAACAATTACTCAGATGTATTTTGAACATTTCTTTTACACAATAAAAATGGATCATCTTAATAAGAGTTGATGTTTAATTTACCTCACAAACCTCTTTTTTTTTTTATTGTTCAATTAAACACAATAATGTGTTATACCTATATGTATGACATTCGCTGCTGTCAGCGCAAATTATAAATTGTTAGGTTTACTTGAAACTGTACATATTGTTTGAATGCACCAGTTCTAAATGTTGACATTTCCATGAGGATCTAAATCTATTTTTATATAGCGTTTATAATGAGTTTAACACATAATAATTTGAAAATTCGCGCGCAATGTCATGGCGGCTCCAAACGAGCCCTAAATGTGGCGTCCCTTCCGGGTATTGGCCGGACTCTTACTACAGGGACTCTACTTCCGATATCTCGTGAAAATTCGCTGAGTGAATGAAGTCATAGGATGACTGGTGGATGAAAGAAAAATGAAAAAAAAAAGAAAAAGATGGTGGAGCGAAAAATATTACGACCGAAGTAGTGGCAGGAGAAACAGAGGAGACCGGAAAAGAGTATCAAAGCATAAGGGCGGAGGAGAAGGAAGATGGAGTTATGATGAAGAACAAGAAGGAAACAGTACTGTTTCATACTCTATTGTAAGATATGCGTAGAGGACAAAAAATAATCAACGCAAAATTGCTACTCTTGCAGCTTCAGGAAATTTTCTTCAACATAATACAATATTAAAGTGATGGCTAAAGTATTTATATATATATATATATATATATATATACCCCTATCCACCATCAGCATGGCCTATACACGTGTAGCTACTCCAAAAGGGTAAGTACCCTCAATATGACGACTCGACTAAACATGCTCAACCTGAACGGAATAGAAACGATTAAACAAACATGACGGGGAAAGAAAGGGAATCCCCAACCCAAAATCGCAATTTCCCGAAAGATACGAATATTTCCTGCGAATCTGCAGGTATTCGAAAATAGTTCTACGCTCCTGTATTTCTGGAATTTTTTTTATCCAATCTGCAAATTTCATTAGTTAAACCTCAGTTACCTTTGGTCGAACTGGTCCAAACCAAATTTTTCGAAGAAAAAAGTAATGAACGGAAAGGGCGTAACATTGATTGCGACGTTTTAAAAAATATACACGAAGATTTTTACGAAAATACAGAAAAAATGGGTGTGGTGTTCATGGATTTGAGAGCAGTATTCTACTCGATGGACAGCAAATTAAGAAATTGCTTCAGGAATGCTGTGACTTTTACAAATGTGATAAAGTAACATGACTGTACTATACTCATAACTGTACAATAAATATCTTTTTTTAATGTTTTTGGAGAGCCAAAGTTAGTAGTTCATTCATAGAAGTCAACAGTGTTCTTGGATCTTCTACCAATCCAGCTCCAACCATAGCACTTGCAAACAACTAAAAAAAAAAAACAAAATAATTATTGATTACCATTGTAAAGATACATGCAAAAGATGTTTATAGTTTGCACATTGAAATTACCTGCTGTGTAACAAGATCGGCCAATTTTGTATCTGTCGTAATTAACTGAGATAGCTTCTTGATTAATAGATGATTAGGATTCAATTCCAAGCGAGGTTGCAAAAGCGCATAACGCGATTCTTCATTTAATTGATGACTTTGTGTTCGCACAAAATGTCTGGCGGCTGCCATATCTTGAACTGTCACCACGCATGGATGAGATTCAAGTCGGTTTGTCAACTTTACATCGTATGCTTTATTTGACAACACCTTCTTCATGTAATTCACCAAACGATCAGCTTCGAGTTTCTCCATAGAACCTATTGCACAAAAATTATATTATGTACGTTTCAACGAATCAGTTTGTTAATAACGTAAGAGACTGCAGTATTCAAATAGCAAATATTAAAACATTAATATTAATAACTCACCCAAATTTTCAGATTTGTTTGCTTCTGTGTCTTGCCTCATTTCCTTCTCCACTGAAGTCAAATTATGTCCGTTGTACTGACTCAGTTGCATTAGTACTAATTCGTCATATGGTTCATAACAGAATAAAACCTCTAAGTTCCGCTTTTTTAGTGATTCGTAATACGGTGATTGCTCGGCCAAAATCCGGCTAAGAAAGCAAAATATGACTAGTCTTTATGATACTAATATTCGTAATATTGTAAAATACATGAAAAAAGAATTATAAATACTAACTTTGGAGCTGCTAAGTAATATATATCCTTTTGATCCTGGCTCATTCTGCTAGTATATTGTGGGAGGCCTACAAGCTCACCAGGAGCACCAGCAGATGATTCGAATCTCAAAAGTTTTCCAATTTCCTCCTAATATAAAATATAGCGAAAAGACCGACAATTAAGTCATTGGTCCATACAAAAATCAAACTGTATTAAAATCACACCATACCTTCTCCTTTTGATTATAACTTGTAACTATGCCTTCCTTCAAGAAGAGACCATAATCCTTATAAAATTGATTATATTCCTCAGTCTGCTTGGTGGACTTTTCAATAAGGAACCTTAGTATGCGAGATGTAAGTACATTTCTGAGTTTTCTGTAAATTACAAATTTCATAAAACACATCAATACGATTAGCCTCCACATTATATCATGCTGTTCAAACCAAGAGCAGCAAACGATTAAGAATCGGTACATTATTATAATTTATCTTCCGTACCCTATGAGTGTACTATTCTGTAATAATTCTCGACTCAAGTTCAAAGGAATGTCTTCAGAGTCGACTACACCCTTGATGAATCGCAGCCATTTCGGTAAAATGTTATCGGCTTTGCTCTTTATCAGGACTTTCCGACTGTAGAGAGAAATACCGACGGAAGTGTCCCTGCTCATTTCGAAAAGACCTGGTTTTCCCTCGGGGAAGTAAAGCAGTGCCCTGATACTGAGAGGGACGTCGGTACTGTAGTGAAGTACAAATCGTGGTGCGTCGAAACTATTTCCAATGAAACGATAAAATTCTGTGTGCTGTTGTGGAGTCACGTCTTTTGGATCCAGCATCCATAATGGCTGCCGAATAACACTCCCATGAATAACTATTAGACAGCAATTAATATATCAAATAAACTTGTTAATATAATATTTACCTGAATTACATTAACTCGCTTGCCATTTACAAATATCGGACTGCCCACAAAGTTGCTATATTTCTTTATGATATCTAAACAAATATACTGAATCATTCATCGTGATATAACTAAGAAAGAAAAAGTGATTGATAGTTACTCACCATTTATAACAGTTTCGTCACTGAATTCTCTACAATCAGGTTTTAAATGCATTACTATTTTCGTTCCAGACTGGACCCCTTCAGCATTAGAAATTTCATAGGTCCCCGATCTGTAAAAAATGTCTTCCTTAAAATTCAACTACTAGAACAATCTGCTGCTGTCATATAAATTTTCTAATTACCCGTCAGATGCCCAACGAAGTTCTTCGGCATCCTTATGGTATGACTTAGTGAAGACCTCGACTTTGTCAGCAACCATAAAAGCACTGTAAAATCCAACCCCAAATTGTCCAATAATATTGGAAGGATCGCCAGCCTTTTGCTTCTCTTTAAGTTGCTCCAGGAAAGCCTAGAATCAAAATAAAATCCATACATGTATTTCTTTAAGCATTATCTAAGTTCTAAAAACAATCAATGATAAATCTTTAAATTAGCCTAAGGTTACAAATAACCCTAATATATCAGTTCAGCGATGACGTGTGGGACAGTGTATCGTATGTGATATCCTGGTTGCCAGAAATGGCGACACAAGCGTGCTGTGATAAATGATGCAATCTAGTGGTATCAGCCCGCGTGGATTAGCTTCCTCTATTTATTGTGCTAGCAGAAACACACCTTCGCCATTCCTATAGAAAATATATTTGCGATGAATTTACAAGCGCATTACATAATGTCATAAATCCATAAACGTGCCATGAAAGTCATAAATATAATCAGAATCCTTTAATGCAGCTCCCAATAAAATTAAGCAAGCAAATTTCAAAATGCCTCCGATCAAATTAACGTACAGTAAATTTTATAATTGATTCAATAAATATAACGGAGAAGGAAAAAACTGAATCTGAATACAATTTTCTAAAGATATTTGCACAGCATATAAATTACACTTTGATTCACATAATTTACAAAATGTTCTGATAACTGTTAGATATTTTTATTGATCCTATCGGTAAGACAGGAAAATTACTTGACCCATTCTGTATCATACAACGGCAACAATATATGAGAAAATGTGTTTCCTCGCGGCAAAGCCAATGCCGTAAAGTTCAGAGTAATTGGATTTTAATCAATCGAAAGACCTCTTCGTAACAATCAATAGATTGCGCTTTTATCGTATGCAAATTCTCTGCTTCAGCCGTTTAGTATTCGGTTCATGGAGGAAGAGTAGTGGCTCCCTGTCTGGTTTAGATTCTAATAAGCAGCAAGGTAGTCCTGCAGTCCTGGCGCCAGGGCTGTAAATGATTAGAGAAGAGACTCCAGACTGGTGTCAGTTTGATTAAATCGGGAGCGTAGGATGAAAGTGGGCGGTATAAGGAAAACGGGGTGGCTATTAGTCGCTTCCTATGAAAGAGGGAGAAGAGCGACCATGTTCAAGGGAGACCTACGAAAGAGAGACGACGAGGGTATAAAGAGAGAACTCGATCGATCCTACCTTTATAGTACAGCCGCAATGCTACAATTCTGTGAATCAAATTTTCTATACAAACATTGTAGACAAACCATGCGACCACCATATTTCGCATCGTTTTCCATTTACTATATTAAGTTTTTAAATCTTGAGTCAAACGAATCTAGCATGTTTTATTAAAAAAATATATTTTTTGTTTATATAAAGAAAATTGATTTTAAAATCGACATTGCATATTTAATAAAGTTTCCCCGACATCGTTTCACTATCTTTTTGAGGTTATTTTTTGGTTAGGTTACTGAAGGATACCGACTGTTTCAAAACGGCTACTGGGAATCATGGATATAGGCGTTCCTGAGCCGATAAAACTGATTGGCTGGATATTGCGAATTTTTTATCGGCACTTTTCCAGACACTGAGGAACTGCCGGCTATTTGTAACAAGCTCCCACCAGCAGCCACTCCCCGCATTTTTTTTCATGATATCGCGTAAGTAGACGGTATTGATCCGACACACACCGATCCTTCTGTATAGCACAAGCGCCATTCCACCATATCGCAACCACAATGCGCTACGGTATTCCAAAAAGAGCTTTAATTTTTATCGTAGACAGTAATATTGAGATTTACTTGTCTTTATTGCTAATACTTTATTTTTTATACTTTTTAGAATATCAATACTGTATTGTTACTACTAAAACTTTATTTTAAAGTATATAATGCATAAGATTTTCTGTGGGTGACTATGATAAATGAATTTGTATCTCAAAGGTGTATGCCAATACGTGAAATATTGAAATATAATTTCAAAGTACGCTTAAAAGTTGTTCAATTAGGAAACTATTGATTAGAGTTATTCAATAATTATAATAGCAATCTACATCATGATTGGATTGAAAAGTAGATCGTGACGATGGCCTGATTAACACTTAATGTTGTTTATTTTTGTAAAATGGTTTCCTAAGTTTTAAACAGATTTTAGTACAATTAATAAATTATATCAGTGACGAAACGATCAACACAATGAATATATGTTATGTTAGGTTGAAACACTTAGATAATCTAGTTATTCTTGAAGAGTAGATAAATGTATTTGGTACTCACTTTAGAACCGGAACGAGCAATAGTACCAAGATTGGAAACAAGTTCTTCCCGAGTCATACCAATTCCAGTGTCTTGAATCGTTAGAATTCGATTCTGTTTGTCAGTAGCAATGTGAATTTCCAAACTGCGGTCGGCTCCTGAATCAGACGACAGATTTTCGCTTAGTCGCAGGTATCTTAGCTTCTCAAGAGCATCGCTTGCGTTGGATATCAGCTCCCTGACGAAGACCTGTTGACAAATTATAGTTGAAATGTATATTTCTTCTATCGTGTAAGGTAAAACCTGGATGGCGGAAATCACCGTGGAAACGGATCACCATAATATTTCTATCTTTCATAGTTGGCAGTATGGAGCAGACTATAGCCGCACTCCCTTCCGTAACTCCCATTAAGAAAATAAATGAAGCGTGACAGCTCATTCGCTGGATGACCATCGACCACTCAGATCATATCCAACCTCCCTTACAGACTTTTACCATCCACTACCCCAAAACTGGACTCTCGCGAATTGCGAAAAATCGCTAGCTCGTTATTTTCCTTTTGTAACCATCAAATAATCAGCATCTACCACCTCCTCGATCCCCTAATCTAATTGATTAATGTGCCGGATGGAGCATCATTTTCGTCGCACCCGTATAACCCCTTGTTTTTTCGTTCATGAACATTTATTATGCTGTAGGCGCGAGGATCGTTTATCACGAAATGATAATCAGAAATTACCATATTTTGGTAATAAAAGGACCGACATATTGTAGCTATAAAGCAGACTGATCCAACTAGATCTTTTAAAACATATTTATAAGCAAATGTTGACACTAAATTGAGTTTAGGGTTGTTATTACTAACTACTATTGGTTCCTCTGTCGTTTTTCCAGCCATAAAACCACTCTGTAAATTTGTCCCTGTCACTAGGAATTTATGTTAGCATTTCGTCTTGGATATATTGACCCTGAGAAAAAAGTACTGGGCTACTATGTAAATGCAAGTGACCCTTCTTCTGGGCTGTGTCTACAGAGAGTGACTTATTGGAGTAGCCAAGGACACACAGACATATATCACTATCGATGGTACAGTTAATCTATAAAAAGGAAGGGTTGTATAGGAATAATTAATTATGTGTCAGTGGCTGATATAGATTTTTTAAACAAAAGTAATTCTTACCTCTTTTTCAGAATATAGCGACTTGGCTACTATTTCAAGTAGCATTCGTGTCTCTGACTGAAACTCATGTTTTGCAGCCTCGCCTGGAAATTAGTAAAAAATATTGTATATTATCTCTCCGATAAATTGTACTTAGCACAGACATGAATCAGTAACAACAAAAATTGCCATCTATTCAAAGAGAAAACTATTAACTGTTATAATTACCTGTGGGTTTTTCCGTATCCTTTATAATATTATGATAATCTGTATCTGGCAAGCTCTCAGCCGCAGCCTGGGATGATAAATATCTTAACTGGCAGCTCTGATTTACTGAAATGAAATTGTAAAACAATATTACTATATAATTAGAAGATACATATTTAAAGTATAAAGAAACCGGTTACAATTTATATACATAACCTGAAAACTATGCTATACACAGTTAGAATTTAGAATAACAATTGACAACGCTGCACATGTTTTTTACCTTGAAGACGGGTCCATCGTTTATCCAAGGATATATTTCTGTAAGCAAAATTCACTGGCCTGACAATGTTTCGGACCAATTTAATCGCGTGCTGTAGTCTGAAGGCGGTAGCCATTTCTGGAAAGCTGATTACGTATTATAACTAAACGAGTTGTGTGCTATGAGTTCGTAGCAACGCTTGTTCCGTCGATAGTGCAGAAAAAATTTTCTTACAGTCAAATGTTCTTTTGTCGAGTATAGTCTCCTCGGTCTCCTCAGAAAGTATTAACTAATTTTGGAATTTCTTTTGATTCTTTGAATATATCAAACAGTTTTCTTTTACTTGAATAACTTGACTGAAGATAAATCTGCCTCTAGATTTTTAGCAAAAAGAATAATAACTTGGTAGCAATAGTTAACATGTATGAAGAAAATGAAGATGAGGGATTGAGAGGACTTGAACGGAAGAAATGAATACAATTGACACTAAAAAAAAGAACCGTGTCGCTGACAGTTATTTATGGCATATAAATTTGTTTATTATTATCTGTATAATATATTTGAAACAATATCATTCTACAACATTGCATAAAAATATACAAAGACATGGAAAAATGTCTCGACTCTCGTACAATAAAACATGTTCATGAATAATTTATCATCGTTACACCGTCATTCAATTGTAACTAAATTTTTTTAACTAATTAGATTCTTTTACCTTTTTTTTAGTCGTCATCTTTTTACTTTATTATTATTATTTATTTATCGTGACGGTACCTGGCCTGTACCTGTGTTTCATTTAATTGCTCTATCATTCAATGATTACAAATAGTTCATCTATCCCTTTACATTGACAGGTCGTCATCGTGGCTCGCGAGTAACAGAAAGGGATTAAGAATGTATCATCATCAATGTTATCCTACTACGAAAATGCAAAAGCGTCATCGAATTTGTTGCATGAGGCTGTAGACCTTTGCAAAATACAAGAGACGCCCCGATTGAAAAGTGAATAATGGAATTTTCTTGCCCCTATTTGTTCCCAGAACAATTCGAAACTGTTTGTAATCGTTCGATAAAGAAAAGAAAATGATTGTCGCTCAATAGAAATAAGCGTCAATCATTTTGAACTCGGATCATCATGAGAAATCCGTAACACTTTGAATAGCTCTATAGATAACGACGGAGTTGAATTAATCCAGAAAATAAATGAACGTGACAACCTTTCAAGCGTCTCGCGAATATTTTTTTTTCCTAGAAAGAACAAAATTAAGATGAGGATTTGGATGTACGGGCCAGAAAAGAAAAACAAAAAAATGTTTGACATCAAATACCATTCGCATGTGACATTTTTTTTGGCGAATGAGAAATCGACCCAGATTCTCGCGAGATGCTCACGCGAAGGTAATAATTACTTTTGAGATCATCGATCAAAGGATAACAACGATAATAATAATTAATGACAATAGCAATAATAAGTAATAATAATTAATAATAATTATCACTTAATAATAATAGTAAGAAAAATAACTATCCGAAAACTATCCTTTTACCAGGGGAGATATTCATATCTTATGTACACGCTCTCTTTGCTCACCATTATCGTTTTCTTCAATCAATCTTTAAATTACGAATTATTACAATAGATAATTATTACTATTCGTCGTTAGCAAACATAAATAATAACGCCACGCTGTTATTTACAGTTTCTTATCTTTCTTCTTTTCTTTGCTCCTCACCTAACTCCTCCCGTCACGATCCAACGTCTTATTGCTGCCTCGTGCGATCACTTCACTATTTTACAAACAACGCGAATCATGGTTGCAATTAATAATAATTAACGTGCGAACGCGTGCTCGTAATTTTTGGCGCAGCGAGAAAAGGACTCTCGTTTTCGAACTATCATAACTCGTACGTATTCACTTTAAAACTGTAATCTCGTGCCTGCGCCACTGCGACTAGACTGAGTCGCTACGAGCCATTGGACTGGCAGCTTTTCTCCCACTACCACGCATTAACCGAATCGCAGTAGCGTAGGAAAGGGGACAAGATTTTTTGGAATTAACGTCTCCAATCTGTGTAAACGTTTTAAAAATGTTCTTCTGTATTTGCGTTATCTATCTTTTTCTGTTTTTTGGTGAATTGCTGGCCGAGAAAGAGACTCTAGTCTCGTACAATAAAAAGAGCCGCTCGCGACAGCGGGCAGATTTTCCCACCAGCCCCTTAACGAAGAGACTATCACTATCATTAGCTTTACGACTATATCACAATCATTAAGAATATATAAGTGTTGATTTTCCTCCGAGCAGGGTTGTTTTTTTTTTCATTTACGAATCTCGTCGCGTCTCTTTTGTTATCGTGGAAAGGCCCAAGATTCAAATGACACATTGATCGCACGATCATCCTGCGCCTATTACGACAGTGTACCGGTTTCGCGAGACAGCAAAAAATTTCGTGGTTACGGTAAAGGACCAATGGCGTCGATTATGTTTTGTAAATGTGTATTATCGAAATTTGACAAATTTCATTATTTTTCTTGTACGTTCGATTATCTTACGTCTTTCGAAATTTTTCCGTTATCGTAAAGAGTTACGATCACGCGTTACAAAACGTTTCGTAATATTCATTTTACTTTTCGCTCTCGTTATATACTGGCTACTGGATATTTACACGAATGAATGAAAAAAAAGAAAGGTAAACAAAATTGAGACGTTTCTTCTGGTTACCTTGGTTATCAAAAGACCTCGTCATGATCTAGAAATACTGATCCCAAAATGTTTTTGTAACAAGTTGATTCGTTAAACTTGATTTGCGAAGATCGAGTCTCGATTACTTTTTTTTTGTTCATACATTAATTTTTCAAAAAGCGATCATTCGCGATGAAATTTTTTTTCCGTTTACGCATTTGGACTTTATTTTGCTATTACTAGAACTTCAAACTGATCTCTCATTCTCATGTTCACTTGTCGATTTCAAAAATCAAAATTTTCTTCATTCACGCCCGTTTTTGATACAGATTTTTTTCTTCCTTTAAGCACTAAGATTCTTTTTTTTAATTGTAACGCTACGAAGGATTCTGACGTATCGTTTCTATATATCCTAGAGCGATAATTCGGCTTGAAATTATATAATTTTTTTTCTTGTTGCCGTCAGAGAGGTAGAAAACTATTCTATTTTGTTATTAACTACTATACGGGAATACTATGTATAAAATGAAAAAGATATTTAACGAGGATTTCACATTTCCTCATTATTCCTGATACTTTCCGGAAATAGATCACAACGGATTTACTAACCCCCATGACACCAATGCATAAACATACTGTACCTAGCAATGCATTGATCCTAAAAAATGTTTAAAAAATGGTCATTAAAAAATTTCATATGTCCAAAGCACGGCGCCATTTTTGAATAAGGGCTAAGTCCTTCCTTTTTCAAATTCACAAAATCCATTATCGTAATAACCTCAAGAAGGTTGACTAACCAATGAAAAATTTTCATGAATGGATATTACAATTAATATCTGTCTCTAATATCGATCCACGTGCTTTTGACTGTCCCAGTGCGAATCGCCATATTATCTCCCGAATAATTTAATAAACTTTCAAAAATGGCAAAAAAAGGTCAACAATATCATAAACACGAGATCCCACGGTATATGGATCCTAGTGAAATTTAGAAAGTAAAGAAAAAAATTGGTCACGACCGATTAATCGATTTCGGAGCTCATCAGGTTTTAACCTAGCAAAATTGACATTTTCGGGTTGATCGTTACTCGTAATCCTGAACCCTCTTCCCACACCGGCAAGTTGGCTTCTACTCTCGCTTCTATTTTCAGACTGGTTTCTCCCTCCGCATGATATTGATCCTCCTCTCTCGTCCTCGCGAGCAACGTTAGAGCCACTATCCGAGGACCTAGTGCAGACGCCTCACCAAATCTATCCGGTCAAAGAATTCGTCAATATCGAATAAATCGGCCAATGCCTAAGACGAGGTAATAAGATACATCCTAAGCGAAGTAAAAAAATAAGAAATTGTCTCTGATTAAATCGATATGTTTGAAGATTCCAATAGTCAGTATAAAAAAAAATGAATTTAATTAATTTTCAAAAATGTATTAATATATGCAAAAACCTCATTTTTAACCTTATATCCAAGAAATAATGAATCTCGAAATTGTCTAATGCACAGATAACTCTTTGATTTCCCCAAATGTAATCTGGTCCCTTTTATCCCGTTATGAATATTATAATCGTAAAGCGGTCAATGACGTTTCATGAAGTAGATATGAGTACTGTTATACGTTATACGTATCGTGCGGCTTCCAATTTCTCCTAAGTGTCTCGTGCACTTAGGGGTTGTTGCGGAGGAACGAAGCAGCGCGAGGGGAGGGTAGTTCTCGTGACGTGCCAACCATAGGACGGAATGGCCGTCGCTATCTTGCCGACTTCCGCGATCCATCTGACTCCGGCGCTGCAGTATTGGGGTACGTTAACCCACCCTGTCTCTAGTCGTATGGGATTTCCTATCCAGCCCCACCAGCGTCAGCTCGTCACGAATGCGCAAGGCACTTTATCAAGATTTTCAGTAATTATGATATTGCTGCATGGCATTTACAAAAGATCACGTTACACGTTGCCATTAAAGTCCTTCCCTTATTTCGAGTAACTGGAACAACCCTCGTGCAATTAAAGCGCTTGGTCTAGTTTAAATGAATTCGCGAAACTCTTGTTTACGATTCTCAATTTACATCGTGTGACAGGCTTGACGCAGTACCGTAAAATAATATTTTTACTCGTACGAACGAAAAATTACTGTAAGATATTGTAATTCATGATTATTACTTAGCCTCGAAAGTAGAGCATTTTTTTAATCTCTTTCTGAGAAACATTCCTTCCTCTTCGATTACACGTCGTGTAAGAGAGGGAAAAGCAAGATTCAGAGGAAGACAATAAAATATATATATGGTGATTCGATAAATTTTAAAAGTCGCATAAGAATGATTCGTGTTAAAATAGAATGGCCGTGGGCCTTAAAGAAAATGTACAGTGTGACTTCGAAGTAAAGGAATATACGTAGGAACTCAACGCATTTATTAATAACAGTTTTGAAGTTCAACATATCTATTCTATACGAATGCCCAGTATTATAAAATTATAAATATTATAAATAATTAGATGTATACGTCCGTTTAAAGGACCTTCTTAACATTCTTTCAAATATCTCTTGTGTCTTCCATCAACCCCCCCCCCGTTCATTCCCTTCCATTTTCAAGCGTTAATGCACCTAGCCAAGCCGTAATCAGCTAATCGGTATTTACTAAGAATTTAATGAAACTTGTATCCTTTTTGAAAAAATTCAATAACTTGATATCAATTTTGAGAAGATAACATAACGATCCACTGTGACATTCAGCACCAAGCATTTTGCCCTATATCTTGGTCCCTAATGCTCTTTTCTATATCTGTCATCTTTCATTTTCATCGTTTCCCACAGCTTCTCATTGTCAAATGCATACACACACACACACACACACACACAAAGACACTCCGTTACTCATTCGTTGCTTCATACTTTCCCATTCATACTGTCGATCATGAAGTTCCTCTCGTTATCCAGTGTTTCCCTCAAACTTCCAAAAAAAAAAGTGTACAATAAAGACTGCCAAAGAAATGATGTGTATAAGTTGCGCCATCTACCTAATCTTTGCCTTTCCTTTTGTTCTGTTTTTGATTTGCGTTTATATAATATTGACATGAAAAATCCGAGAATATATCTCAATTTTTCGTTCCTTACTTTTGCATGTGATTCTTTTTTCCCCTTCGTTCCCATTGCGTTTTGCATAATTTTCTACTGACCGTCATTCTTTAATTTTTATTCTATTCTTCCGTTAGATTATGTTTCGTGGCCCCAAAATATTTAATAGACGTACGTCACTGCTTTATGCTCGGTTCACAGGTCGCACACATATTCGTATAGCCTTCATTCAGCATAACCACACGACCCACCTTGAATATGTTGAACAAAAAGTTCAGCGTCCTATCGACGTGAAAGTGAATGAAAATCATTGTTAGCGCTTTGCGCATGCGCGGTAGGAATCCGATTTTGTTTTCAACGCTCGGTCAATATATATTTATTATATTTTTCATTTTAAATCTTGTATTCAGTGGTACTGATTAACCGCATTCGTTTGCTTCCTTCTTGTCTTTCCACTATAGTCCCAATTCTCACAGAACTCCTTTAAGAACTTCTAAGCATCCTTAAACCTTCTTAACCTTGTGTCATCATTCTTTTTTTTCTTTTCTTTTAGAAACGATAGTTTTGATTAGACAAAATCCCTCATGGGTTTTCTATTCTCTTTAACTATGGAATGTATCACTATTTGGAAGATTAGCCGCTCGCGGAACCGTCTCTCCAACGTGTCGAACGGTGTGGGCTAACTAAACGAATTGATTGATAAGAGAAATTTTCAAAAAAAAAAAAAAAAAGAGAAAATACATCCTCGCTGGACCTCGTGACAACGTATAGACAAAAATATAGAAAGTATTAACAAGAAACAAAAAAATACAGAAATAATTATATAATTTGTACACTAGTGTCATGAAAATATTTTTCTTTAAATTATCCACAAAATATAACTCATACTTTCTTCCGCGAATCATTAAAAATATCTCGAATGAAAATAACACATTTTTATCATCAAAACGTTTAGATAGCCCATAGCTCGTTTTACGCGGATATGTCGGAGTCTGGCCCACCGCAAATGTAGCTTGTGTGCCACTTCGAATGACAAAATGGCGACATAGCGCATTCGAGTGAAACTTAATAAATACACCGTATATGTCAAATGCGCTTTATCGCCGGAAAAAAAAAAGAAAGTGATCGCACTCCGATGCGTCACTTAATCATTTTTCTTGTTGTTGTTTTCCTTCAATACATCATAATAATTGTCTATGTTGTATGTATGCCATAAGGTCTCTTAAGTTAATTTATCTTAACTTAACGAACTTAGTGTTCCGTTTGAATTTCTCGCTAAGTATATATCTATTTACAGACGAAGAGGTCGGGTATTGTAATATCGCCTTAACGTTAATCGCCTAGCAATCCTTCGGGAGGGGTTTTTGCTATCCCATAGTTTTTCTTCCTATCAGATTTTGCCGTTGTATTCACGATGATAACCGCACGAGCTATTTCATTAATTTAATTATCATTTAATTAATGTCCTTCTACGCTGCCACAGAAATGGAACTTAAGGGCACGTTCACACGTGGAGCTGCCTAAAGTGCGAGCAACCACCACCTCGCCGATGTACTTCCACGATAGGTCTTTTTTCTTTTTTTTTTTTCCATAATTGACTTTCACTTAATTACAAATTCGCGTCACCTGAGCGAATGCATAATTAAATATATTATACTAATTATTACATTATTACTTCAAACCCGACCATAACGTCAACCCACGGCAGTGCCGTTACGCAAGACGAAAGTATTCGCCCACTTTCGAAATCCTTCGACCAAGATAAAAACGCACTAGTCACGGAAATGGGGATGAGTTTTGGTTAAGTAACTTTCTTCGTCGTCTCTCCCTCCATGTTTACCATCAGTGCCGCCATCTGGATACTGTTCTCTGAATTATAATTTTAACGTTCTCTCAAGTTCCCAGAAAATCAAGAGAATCGCGAGATGAGACGAGTACGCCTCATTTGCTTTAAATAACAAGTAATAAAGGCCCCCTGAGTGTCCGTATAGAACAAAAGAGAAGTTATCTTCCCCGATAGGCGAAAAGACGAAGAAACAAAAAAAAAGAAAAACAAAAAGATACATCTTTCCTGAGCAAGAAAAATAACAACATGTAGTCTCACTGAGCTGTAATCGAGGAAGAAGAAAGAGAGCAAATAAAGAGAGTAAACGGTTAGGCGTCTCTCTTGACTTTCTATTACACGGTCGTCGAGACACCTTTTGGGCCCTAATTCCGATAGAAAATACAATTAAACTAATACGTGATTGCCTATCATAAATCGGGCGATGATAATCGCACAGAAATGATCAGCCAATATAAGATGCGCGACCCGCGCGATCAGCGATTATTTCCTACGAGAGAAGGAAGATCCGATCATACGATTCAACCGATTTGAAAAGCAATACTCGTTTGTACTCTCAAAAGTACAAAATGCATATCCACATAAATAATACGGGATACGGATTCATTGCTGCTACTCCTCCACTTCGATACCAGACATCACGTATTCCTCGAATTACAAAAAAAAATTTTTGTAAAACCCATCACGGCGACGACCTGGACGCAACTCGCTCTGTCATCGCATTTAAATTTCGTGGGTAGTCACAACCTATTGATTACGCGTTGGCGCTAACGGCAGCGAGGAGGAATCCCATTCGGCTGACACAGGCCAAAAGGAAAATAGGTTCAATCTATACAGGGGCTGGAAGTTGATGGGGTAGAGACAGAGGAAATGAACTAGGTGGCACGAGTAGGCGCAAGAGCGATACTAGCACTGCTAGTAGCAGGAACGATGCTGGCAAGGACAGAAGTAGTCGGTAGTAGCGAGAATTCGTCGATATCGTAGAGCACGCGAGGAAGAGGAACACAGAATGGCCGTTTACGTTATGGAACACCGGTGAGTTAGTTCGACGGTAGACTAGACCATGGGGCGTGGTCTTACAGAATGTCGAGGTTGAAGCCGGCCGTAGAATCGAGGGAATTGAGAAGTTCCTGGGCGCTAAAGTTGGACGTGTCCCCGGCGGGTAGATTCTCGAGAAATTCTAGGCTGAAGTCAGCGGCTGCTGCCACGGAGGGATCCGAGGCAGCCGGAGGTGGTTGACTTTGTTGCTGGGGCAAACTCCTGACACCGGGACTACCAGCGCCGTACTGCTGATGCGGATGAAGCGGAGAACCTGAGGAAGAGCGAAGAGGAGAAAAATATAGAACAAGGATAAAAATTGACATCGGCTTTTCGTTACCGATAACGAATTGGGATGACCATTCCCAAAAAAAGTAAATTGACACCTACCCGTTCCCGTGGTCGTGACGGAATTAACAGACGACGACTGTGACATTTGCATCTGCATGGACATCTGACTGTTGCCCTGCTGCATAGCCAGGGTCTGTTGCTGATGCTGCTGTGACAGTAGCTGCTGCATCTGACTGCTGTTGGCCATCCCGGGGCCAGCCATGGCTCCGCTCTGGGAGCGAATCAGCTGCTGCTGGTGTTGCATCTGAGCTGCGCTCATTTGCATTCCACCTGCGCCGCCCATGCCAAAGCCACCTGGAAGAAGGCGGCGAGAGGCGAGTAAGCTCGCGTCGCTCGGTCCTCCTGGCCTCGTAGCCGAGGTTGATATCCGTCGTGCTGCCGTCGCTGCGGCGCTCGACTCACCTTGATGACCCTGCTGGTTGAACTGAGGTCGCATCTGCGCCTGGAAACCCTGCTGCTGCATGAGCAGGTGTCGCCACTCCTGCTGAGTACCACGACCGCCGATGTTGTTCCCTAAGCCGTCCGGTGGACCGACGCTCACGTTAGGCGGCCGCTGATTGTTCGTCCTGGGGTAACCGAGTCTCTGGTGCATCTGGTGCATCCCACCTATGGCGGCCATGCCGCCGCCACCCATGTACATGTTGCCGCCGGCCGCGTGCAACGCCTGTTGCTGCTGTTGCTGCGCCATTTGCGGCCTCATCATCGGACCTGTCGAGAACAATTCAAAGACGATGCTATAGAGGGAGAGTCGGACTTGGGAAGTTGGGTTCGAAGTCTGGGGTACTAGGGGTTAACCCGAGAGAGCGCTCTGCTCACCCACGGTATACATAATTGACCTCGAGAAAGGGGTCGATATATCGGTAAAGCAAAGTAACGAAGAGGCGCCTCTAGGTCAGAAGTCAAACCCGGAAGGGGGAACCTTCGGCACGTTTTATGCGGCAGGGGAAACCGTAAAACCGAGCTAGGCTAAATGGAACCGAAGTTTTGGGATGGTTACGATGGATGAGGATGGATCTGACTTCCGGTCTGTTTTATACGGACGGACACTGTCCCAAGGGAGTCACCATTCTGGATAGCTTCCACGAATTGGAGTAGATCGAGTCGGCCTGTTACGTGTTCAGCACCAGTTAGACTCTGTCATGAAGACGAGGACGAACAGTAAATCGGTACATAAATTCTCGCTCACGCGATTAGAGTTCCCAGAAGCTTTTAACATTTTTCCCACCCAGCTAGCATCTCCTCTTATACATGTATATATTATAGTATCTGGTATTGATTTCATCATGAAACTATTCTGGCTGCATCTATAACGCGACCTCGACTCTGTATCGTCATTGATTTGACATCTGCGAAGCAGCTTGCGATTTGTTAAAAAGATACGAGTATTGTGCACATTTGAATAAACTTTAGAAAATCAATGTACAGAGCAGTTATATATACATATATATTTTTGATTATTTTAAGTGCACTACCTAACTCTGGCCGGACGCCAGTGCACGCTAAAGCAATGTACTTTGGCCATCTCGCGTTCGAAAGATGAACCAACCATACACTATGGCCGGAAACGAGCCGGACTCGTACGTCACGGTGGCCATGAGATTTCGTGCTAACCAAAAATACCTTACTCAGGCTTCTCAAAAATTAATTTAACGATGAAAACGGGCGATCAAATGGTTTGTGATTTTCGTTTTAGTTGAGACAAATTTCAAAAATCCGGATTAATATTGACAATTTTCACAGTAATTATATCTTAACGTTACTTACCGGATGGCGGCATTGGCTGCTGAGTGACTCTACGCATTGGTCCCGCATTTTGGAACCTGGCTTGCTGACCCATTCCCATGCCCGCGTGCATCATTTGGGCCTGTGCGGCCGCTTTGTATTCCGGGGGTGGAGGTCTCACCCCTCCTATACCACCGGCCATGTGCTGCTGCTGCTGCATCACCTTGGATAAAAATATACCACTCAGAGTTAATCGAATTGAAAGGGAAAAAAAGAAAAATATATTTGACCTTTGAAAAATCTTCACAAAAAATTTATCGTCAAGATTTACAAGAATACCATTTTAAATCCTTTTAAAAGCCATAGACACTCCTGTTACGTAAAAGTACCTTCGACTTCCCGGAATCACCGAATCGAACAAACATCTGAACGAAGTAACCAAGTAGTAAAGGATAGGTTTTCAATTATTTTTTTTTCCTTTCTTCTCTTGGCAAATCCAAGCAAAGAGACTCTGTATCGAGGATCATCGACTCCCAGTGAACCGGCAACCTGTGATTATATCCAGAGGTAACGCCCCCAGACATTTTCTTGCCATTCCGAGTAAATAGGAAATCGACCTTAAGCCTACAATTTTGTTGCTGATTTCTCAGCAATCTATATAAGGAACCTGGTAAGGTCAATTATCGCCTTTCAGGTCGATTATATGCAATCTATAATAGATAACGATACCAACTGGATAAAGATTCTTCAACATTGAAGTCAAAGGTACCGGGTGTTGAAAAATTGTGAAATTGATATCTCATTTTTCATCCGCAAGTAAATTCAAATATGAATCCACCGATTCTTCGGCACGTGAACAGACTAAGTGTTGCTCATATTCATATGTGGATCAATATCACTAAGATGGATGACTAACCAATTGCGCGAAACATACAATTATGAGCTCAATCAGGCCACTGTGAACGAAGCTTTACGTTGCCGAGATAATGATCGCGTTATAACTGACTCATCATCTAATAAGCATAGAGCGTTCGCCAATGTCCTCAGATATCACACTCATATGTACACACGTAATATGAATGCCTGAGTAATTCCAAACCTGACAGTTCTCAATGTACGACTATATAAGATTGCTGATTAAATTGTATTTTTCAATGACCGATTAATCGCAATACGAATACGATTTATTCGCAATTTCGAGGGAAGGTCAAAGTTCAATAGTTACCAGTCTACGTAAAGGTCAGGTAGGGATGAAGTAGTAAGGTCAGGAAGGTTCAATCGGTGCTGAAAGTTTTGGAAAATTCAAAGGGAGATTCGAAAACAGTACGTTCAACCGGAACAAGAAGTAAGAAGAAGAATGCGACTAGTTATAAGAAGTGGAGGAAGTGAAAGGAAGTGGAGTAACAGCTGAAGAAGACTTCTCCCCCATTGAACCCTCCGATATCTGACTTCCTGGGGAACCAACATGCGCGTGCACAACTACTGTCAACATTTAAAAAAAAAAAAAGTTTCCGCTCATTCTTCTCCGTGTGTCTACCTCTTCATCCCCTATTCTTCAACCCCCCCCCCCCCCAAAAAG